ATCCACAGTCCACACGAAATAACAGTCTGAAGTACCTGAAAGGCCGTGCCTACGCCAGCTACCTACTTCCACTTATGGGAGAGTTTTCACAGCTTCATAAATAACTGCATAGCCATAAACGTCTACGTTACTTTCCACTTTCGCAGCTGCATTGCCTTAGACAATCTCGTAGTGTTGCATAGTCTTTTATAAGTTGCTACATACATAAATAAACTTACCTGCAAATCTTCGGATTTTATTTTCCGCACGTCCGACCTTCTTACAAGGTTACATTAAGCAGGTCCTTGTAGAACACTTTTTGTATCTGAGAGAAATTGAGACGAATAGAATTACAAAAACATTTCTATTAAAAAGAAAAGGTTACTACAGCTATTTACGGAACATGATATCAAAATTTTATTAAAATAACGAAAAATGTCCAGTGAAAATCCTCGACTCGTAGAGAATTTTTCATTAAATTAATTCTGGAAAACCTTTGATGTTTTCACATTTACAAGTTTACTTTTAAATGCAAGTAGGTAAGTAGTGTTTAATAATCGGTAGAACATAATATTGCAAAGGATATTTTTTTATTACATATTTTGTACATACCATCTTTTAAAATTTAAAAGTTTTTGGCAGTCTCTTAACGAATAAATGTCTAAACTTGTCGTGCAAAATAGGTGTGATGTTTCTTCCTCATTACTGAAGAAAAATAAAAATCTGCCCTTCTATGACTCAGACGCCTTGGCATGTCTTGCAGCATGAAAGTTACATTACTATTGTTTCTTTAACGAGAAACCACGAGATTCTATCAAAATACGCACCAGAGTCATTCGTGGGCAACATTGGCTTTATTCTGAGGCAGCGCCTTTCAATGTCACGAATTAAAAAAGAAATAAATTAATGAATTTTGAAAATTTTCAAAAGTGTTTTAAAAAAGTTAATTCTATTCAAGTTCATAATATAATATTTTGTTCATAATTGTTTGATGTTATACGTAATTCGTAATGGGTCGTTATTACTCGGAATAAATTAGTTTTAATTTTAATTTTATAATATCTTGTAGGTATAAACCTACAATATAATATCTGATATTGTCTTGTATCTAAAATCTCAAGCAAGTGAATGAAGATTTCATCTGCGTAAATGTCTATCAATTTTATTTGTCATGTGACATAAATAAAAAACAGAAAAAAAAGAAGTGCTGAAATGTTTTGGTACATTATCATATGCAAGCTTTTCCGAATAGCTACGCATTGGTTAATATTTTAAAGATATTAGTATATCTGTAAAAAGATCTCAAAAAAGGGCGTATGGAAACAGAGGTTAAGAATAGGGTTATGAAGTTGTGAAACAAAGTTTGCATTCACTAATTAATTCCTGCTCTCAAAACCCGTCCCACTAACAAATTGCTCTACACTTCCTCGTCTGGTATGAAGGATCAGTTTTGTACTAATCTCTGGTATGAAGAAACAGCAATAATAACATCCATTTCTGCAAGCATACTTGCATGATAGGGTCACATACCTTAGATGTATGTTTATATGAATAATCTAAATTATTTTTTTTTTCAATAGTATGTTTTGTATGAATCTTTAAATTATAAAAATCTCTATAAAAAGCACGCTTCCTGCAATGCGGAACATGTTTAGTCACTGGACTGCGATTGGCTCAAACGTAATTTGCTTACCTTAAATCTCAAAAAGAGTGAATTCATCTGCTTTCATAGGACCTCCTGTGTACCGTTTAGATTTTCGGGTTTCTCTCAGAGGAAAGTTTAAGGAGACTGGTATTGACTGTGGCATCATAATACATTTACTCACATATTTCGTATGGCCGCAAAAATATACATAATTTTATTAAGAAAGTCCGTTGTCCGTAATATTAACCTTAGAACAAAGTCCAAACTCATGGTACCACGGTTTCGTTTAACTATGGTAAACAATTTCGTTTATGGGGAACTGTATACGTTTTTATAATAAGATTCCGAAACATATATTAAAGTTATCATTTCCAAAATTTAAAACTTACGTTACATTATATAAAGTCCAGATTCCATACAATCATGAAAAGTGTATTCCATAGCATTTAAGTTTATTTTAAAAGAGCAATCCAGAGTTTCTTGCTTGGTCTTTTCAGGGAGATCAGCGTAGTAGTGTACGAGCAGTAGCTTAAAAAATGACGTTTTCAAGTGTAAAAATTTTACCTACAATAAATAAATTCTTATTTGACTTTGAATTGACTTTGCCGAGGCAACAGCTTCATTTTCATTTCCTTCTATTAAAGCTCATACATGTGATAGTAATGGAATGGTGTGTTCGTGAGAAACTCCAGTTAAAACTGATGCTACTTAGTACCATGGCGTAGTTTTAGATGAGAAGCTTAACTTTCACACACATATAACTCTTCTTTCCGGGCATGTAAGAAAAACGGCAAACATATTAAGACTGCGTCGGGATATCGCTTCGCCAGAAATTGACGAATTTCATTTCATGACGTATCTATTTCGCTCTCTGCCACTCACCCCTCACATATTGCATTTCCAGCTGGGGTAGCGCGGCAAAGACACATATGTTACAGTCGGAAAGTGCTCCGCGCTCTGTTCTTAAAAGTATGCTCAAAACCCTCGACGATATCCGACTACAGTTTTATACAGGGTCCGTAAGCTCTTCGTTCTCAAAACTTTAATAAACACTCATAGAGAAGGTGTGCGGTCAGTTGACTACAATGTTTTAATTACAAAGCGTATGATTCGTATCCCACTCACTATCATACCATTTCTGCCGCCAAGCAGTAATGTAAGCATTACTGTGTTCCGGTTTTGAAGAGTAAGAATGTTGGTGAAATTACAGCCACAGGATTTTTCAACTTATGACTCGGGGAGAAGGGCGCAGTACCAGTACCCCTGAGATCTTTGTGATTTAAAGCGCTAATGGGCACTGCAACTGTTATGTACAGGCGTGTTACTTAACACCAAACGCACAACTAGGTCGTGCTTTATTATTACTACACTTGTACAACAACGTCCTCAAATCATGTAACATAAAATTTTGCTCATCAAGTACAGTCACTACCTATTACTTGGTTTTATAAAAAAAACCTATACTGCAAAACTGGTTGCTTGACTTGACTTAGGATTTTGTTGAGAATTTAATTGTTTTGCATGTCGTAGCTGCACAGTGAACTTATTGTTATAAAACATTACTGTTTAGTTTATAAAGCATCAATTATTACTTTTATACATATATAAATATCATCATCAACGCATTTATACGTCCCACTGTTGGGCACGGGTCTCCTTTCAGACGAGGCCGCCACGCTGGCCCAATGCGGGTTGCGTACTTCACACGTTTTCCGAGGCTCGTGACCCTTCTTCGACGTACCAACGCAATATATCTTAGGTTTGCTTGTTTAAATATTTTAAATCCATTCTGTTCATTTTAATAATGTAAAAAAAACCGACTTCAAAAGTACGTGGAATTACATCTATTTACCAAGTTTTTTTTGAAATTCATTACTGGAAAGTGCGCAAACCCGGATTCATTCCCTAGTTCGCCACTATACGGAACTTGACACAGGAGATAATAAAAAATCGGTTCTCACTACTTAAAGTATATTGAGAGAAAAATGCCTTGAATAATAGAATAGCAAACTCAACTATTAAAGTAATTGCTCCTTATAATAAAATTTTGGTGCTATATATAAAAATGAGTCTTCATGAGTGAAAAGTTGCTATTGTATATTGAGGTGGATGATTTTCTTCAAAATTAAATGGGACCACTATTGGAGGTACCCTCTTTCCAATAAAAAAAAATTTATGAAAATCGGTGCACAACTACCGGAGTTATCGCGTAACGTACATACAAAAAAAAACACAGTCGTATTGAGAACCTCCTCCTTTTTTTGAAATCGGTTAAAAAGGCAAGTATTGATGTAAATCGGTTGTACGATAATGCCCTACGACGACACAAGGTTGCCTAGTGTGGGGACCGCGGTAATTATAAAATTGTTACTATCCACCTGTAAAACACATTTTTATTATTTTGTTATTAAGTAACTTTAAATTATCTACTTTTGGTGACTAGAACCGAGTAAACCAGCCTTGTTATAAAGATACCGGTAAATAATAAATTGGAGCTAGATTAAACAAGCTACAAAAGTTGAATAAAGTGGATAGGTAGTAGTTCAGCTTGTTATAACTTTTCACCAAGCAATAAATGTGCAACGAGGTCAACTGAGGAAATTTCAATGAGATATTGTCTAACTATAGAATAAAACTTTTAATATGTTTCATATTGTTAGAGAACGCAATTTGTTTATCACCTCGTCCTCATTATTTAAAAAAAAAATATGGTAGGAACATTGAAAGCTCTTATTTTTCCAGACTTATCTCGAACACTATTGTGAATTTATGATTTACATTTTTCATATTCCACCATTATGGTATTATCTGAGATAGGGAATGTTTTCGTGAAATATAATAATAATAATAACGCGTACACACTCTTAGCCCCTCACTAGGGAAAACCTGTATCGCGGGTGCCATTGATCACACACAGACAGGCACAAATTACACCCAACTCACGAGAGAAATAAATGTAGGCCATACAAATATTTCTCCCGGCCCGGGAATCGAACCCGGGACCTCTGCGTTGCAGTCCAGCATGGTAACCGTTCGGCCACAGAGGCAGAAATACCTCAGAGTATCGTCGTCTCCGAAATATTGTTTGGCTTAGGTTAGCAGGCTTTCGAGTTATGGGTACCTTCATCATGGTCAACTAATAAGCCTTGAAATGCTACATGCATTTCACGGCTGACTACTATGAAGAAGGTTTTCACCCCGCTTGCCCAACTAACTAGGGTTGGTTCTATTTGTTCGAAGTTTTCAAATACTATCTATATACCTTAACCATGATATAGCAGTACAGTATGTAATCTAATCGGTATAATCTAAGGCAACAATCGAAACATAAGACATAAATTATAACAGATAATAATTTAATTCATTTGCATTATAACAGTAATCAAGATACCAGTTCAGAAAAATAATGATAACTTTAATTATAGCTTATATTATCCATTGGCATCTGTCGACTTTATAAGGTTGATGACTCTATTATATATTAAGGTTTTCGCATCAATACCCCATACGAAGTCTAGATGACTGAAACTGGCGAGCGGTACGCGGAACAAACCAACAGGTCTACCAAGTTCTTGGAATAACCTGAAGACATCGTTAACATGAGCAAGTGGGTCACTTTCAGAGTAGTGCAAGAATACAGGTGCAGTAATCCTGCCAAGATTATAGTCCGGGGGGTTTCGTGAGCCATATATACGCCTGTTTGAAATCCATCCATGGTCATAGCGGCGGAAACGACGGTCATTGATGCCCTGGCCGTAATGTACGAACTGCCTGACGGATGAACCGGCTGGAGTGTGTCCTAATTTCACTGGCAACATAGTCTGTTAACAATAAGGACACGAATTATACAATTGACAATCTCGTTACCGGGAGAGAAGACAAAATTTTTGCATTTTCAATTGCTTACCGCATTGTGTTGCTCCTCATTCCACCCACCGACCAAGAACATGATGCTGCTACAGATAGGCTGGAAAATTACTTCGTCCATGCAGAGCGCCTGGCCAGCCCATGTCATAATTAAATTATTAGGCAAAAATTCACCCACACCAATTAATCTTGCTATTCTCTGTAAAATAATTGCTTGAGTAGAAAGCAGGTAAATCTAAAAACTATATCTCTACATGAAAGTTAACCTAAAAACAAAGCAAATTCCTGTTTAGGACATCACGTCTCGGGGAGAACCATAATTTGCTCGTTTGCGCGTTGCTCTTCTTGCATTATCTGTCATAGACAGCGACACTTTTAGTTTTGTAGAAAATTACATGCAGCTCTCACCAAAAACTTCGTGTAAGTAGTTTCTGATAAACCGAAAAGAATGGAACGAGTCACCAACACGTTATTTGGAATCCTAAGGGTAAACCTTGGAATCTTTAACCTGGCTTGTACTTACCTCAATATCATTTCCGAAAGATGCTATAGCTCTCAAAAGAAGGCTTCTGTTATTCGCCATGTACGCAACGGGAGCCAAAGCATGCATAGAAATAATCTTTTGATTATATTCCGGACGAAGAGACGTCATGACCCAAAAAACAGTGGTTCCTTGAGAGTGACCAACATAATGCAATCTTTGTCTGTTGGTCTTTTCGAGAACATAGTCAATCATAGTAGGCATATCGATATTGCCTATTTCATCCCAGGAAAATCTCCAGAAATCGGTGTTTAAGATAGCATCAGGGTTCAATCTAATATGTCTACGTGAGTAGTAGTTGCCTCGTGCGTTACCCATCCATACATCGAAACCTTCTTCAACGAGGAAGTAGGCTGGAAAAGTTATCATACTTAAGTAGAGGATCTTAATCTCAGAAATAAATAAGTGCACAGTCTTGTTTACTTACCATTAACTCAATTTGTCAGCTTCGCTGATAGGTAGGGTATGGTAATATAAAAAAACAACGAATACCTATTGTAAGTATTACTTACCAAATGCCGTTCCAGGTCCCATAAGAACCCAATCAGCTGAAGAAGAAAGTAATCCATGCTGAAGAAATACTACGGGCTTATCTGGTGATGGGCTATTATGGTTGTCGCGACCGTGGGGAATGCGATGCATTTCAAGGATATAGCCATCTGGAGTCGTGACATGATGCACTTCGAGGGGGTAGTTGTACTTCCTGACGAGATCAGGCTAAAATTTGCAGAAATTATATTTAATTATTAAAATAATAAAATGTATTTAGTATAATATTATACACATTTTGATCTCAAATTATTCCCTGACCTACCTATCTACACACATCAAAAGTGTCTAGGGATCAAGTACGTTTAAGAGTATCGCTGCAATTAGGGTTAATTATATTAACTTTTTTGTATCGCTATTGATACTTTTTAGTGAGTTTTAACATTTAAATAAGGAATATTGTTTAAAATTCGATAATAAGAAGAAAATCGATTGTCAATGTGGTTTTGTATAAAAATGAGTTATAGCGTTTTGACAAAATCATTACAATATCTGCATCGGAACCGAAACAATTTACATTATTATGGAGAGACGACATCATTTAACCCGAGAAGTGATGATGCGAGCCGTCGGAATGTTGGAAGCTGGTTCCAGGCAACGTGCTGTGGCTTTCACTCTTAACACTACACAGAGCGTCATAAGTCGCCTCTGGACGCGCTATCGCATGACGGGCAGCGTGGCCGAGCGACATGGAGGACGATCTCGCATCACGACTCGCAGACAGGACCGGTATATCCAAAATACTGCTCGACGGAATCGTACCATGACCGCCATGATGTTGGTTACGAGGCTCCACAGCTCCTCAGGCTTGCTAATAAGCGATCAAACAATCCGAAATCGTTTACGTGAAGTGGGTCTGCGATCCCAAAGGCCGCTCAGAGTTCCACCTATTGCACCCTGCAATCGCAGGACCCGTTTACGATGGGCTCGCGAACACAGAAACTGGGAGGAAGAAGACTGGCGCTATGTGTGCTTTTCGGATGAATCCCGCTTCGGTATGAGACCGGATACAAGACGTACTCGAGTTTGGAGAACATCTGGACGTCATGAACGTTTGAGATATTATCAGGAAGTTCATCCATATGGTGGGGGAACAATAATGATATGGGCCGGTATTTGGATCGGCGGAAGAACCGATCTCATTTGGATCAGGGGTAACCTCAATGCTCAAGTTTACGCAGAGAGGATTGTTTCAGATGTTATCATCCCTTTGCGAGGCCAGTTGGGTGATTCATTTCAACTAATGCATGACAACGCAAGTCCACACACGGCTAGAGTCGTAACACGCATTCTTGCCGAAGCTCGTATCAACGTTCTGCCGTGGCCTGCTCAATCGCCAGACCTCAATCCAATTGAGCACGCATGGGATATGCTTCAAAGAAGAGCTGTGCCGAGTATGCATGCCGTACATACTCTACAACAATATTTTGACTTGTTACAAAACACATGGGCGGCCATTCCTCAAAGTGATTTTGATGAACTCATCTTAAGCATGCCAAATCGCTGTAATTGTGTGATTCGTGTTAATGGTGGAAATACAGATTATTAATTTTCTTATCTTTACAATAAAAATGAGCAAAATCATCATTTTCGCCATTTTTTTGTCATTTAATTGACGCCGTTAATTTGAGTTTTTTCCCACAATTTGCAAAAACATCAATTTTAGTTTATTTTAATTAAATATAGGGGTAAACGGTTAAATAAAACATAAGCATTAAAGTAAGAAGTCGTCCTGGAAGACTGGATTTGGTAAATATTGCTTAAATAATTTTTATTTCAAAAATATTCACTTGATCCCTAGACACTTTTGATGTGTGTATATCTGGCGGTAGGCACCCCCAGAGTTTGATTTTCATCCTACTCAACACTTGAGAAAATTTCGTTTTATAATTTGTTATATCGAAAATCAGACCTCTTGTGTGAACTCCATATTGTATTAACTACCAAGCTACGTTACGACTATAAAATTAAGTCAACAACGTTTAAAACATATGAATCGATGTATGACTTTTAAAAGAAGAACATTTTAACGAAACCCAAATAGGTATACAGTACATGCTTAAAACTTACAACATCCAACGAAGCATCCTCTAGTACGTTATCTACAAATCGAGGGTCAACTTTGAAAGCTCCACTCCTTATCATTTGTTCCACATGCTCGGCGTGGGGCGACTTCGCCGCGGCCGAAAACACGGCACACGCGAATAGCACTAACAACTCACGTAACATCGCTTATGCGTTTCCCAGCAATTTTAGAGCACTACCATTTTTATATTGATTTCAGGGAAGTTATTTACCAAGATAACAAATTGCAATCGATCATTTCTGACAAATATCCGATCATACACCTGCTAATAATCATTAACTTGGATAATAATAAAAATCACACTATATCCGTATATCATGCCAAATATCTGACTTTTCGATAAACCCTGAATAGAACATTAGAGTTTAGATTATACGCGTGCCATATTTTAATGATTTAATAAAATGTATATTTTTGTAGCAGAAAGGCTTCTTGTGAAAGAGTTCGTCCAGGAAAGTACTGCCACTTTTATCTATTCTGTCGCCAAGCAGTAATGTGATTATTACCGCGTTCCGGTTTTGAAGGGTAAGGGTGCAGGTGAAATTACATGTAGGGAAATCCTCTCTCTCATTCAATGGTCAAAAAGAAGAAATATGTTTAAATGTCATGTTTAAATATAGCTTGTCAAAAAAAATGGAAAAATATAAGGAGTGATAGTGATAGTGATATTAAACTACCGTACATAGTTATTTTTACTTGACATTGGCAAAATCATTGATTATTTCGATGGAGCCATAACATTTAAAAGAAGAAGAAGGAGTGATAGCAAAATGTATTTACAATTTTATTTATAAATAGTATTAGCAAAGTGTAGTAAATTCTTCAAAACTATAAGTTCTAAGTGGCCATGGGCCACATTTGTTGAAGCTTTAATAAACTACGCGGAACAATCCGATCGAAATGGAGTTATGTAAAATTCTGATTACGAAGCTGGATGGACATAACTGGGTCCAATGGCGTTATCGCGTGTCCGCAATGCTCAACGGCATCGACGGATTAATTGATATCGTGGAGGGCAAAGTACGAGAACCTGAGCGACCGTACTGCTACCGGTGACGGAGACACTTCTGTTCTTGGGGAGTACAATCGGATGCTAAGAGAACACAAGAGATCTTTAAGCACTGCGTTGCTTTTGATCACGAACAACATATCGGATGAAATCCTGGACAAAGTGATGAGATTCTGTCACCCTAAGGATGTATGGGATGAGTTACATCGGCTGTACGACGGCAAGAACGAGGACCGTTTGTATGAAGCTTGTTTGGCATTTTTTAAAGCGAAAAAAGATCCATCAGATGACATGGTGTCTTGTATTTCGAAATTGAAAAATTTGTGGCATACTTTGAAGCAGGAGTTAGTCAAATCAGGTGATGGTACAGATTTACCGGAGTTTCTGCTAATCTGCAAGATTTTGCATAGTTCGCCGGATACATATTTCTCATTTAAAGCGAGTTGTATGCTAATGTCAAAGAAGGATAGAACAGTAGAAAGTTTAACAAGTCAGTTATGTGTTCACGAGAAGGCACTGTTGATCTGTCACGACGGAGAGTCTGGAGTTGAAGCTTTTATTGTGAAGATGAATAAACAGAAAATAATTCAGAAGGTACTAAAACAGAATTAGGATACTTCAAAGGAGGAGAGCAGACGCTGCTTTATATGCAAAGACAAAGGTCATTTAAAATTGCATTGTCCTAAGAACAAGTCTGGAATGACAAAACCTGAGGATGTAGGTACGAACTGTGGGTATGTCTAGCATGAGGCTAACTTCGGTTTTTGCTATTTCTGCTGAGAATTATCCTGAGATGTGGTATATTGATAATGGAGCAACTAATCACGTAACGCTGCGAGATTTTAGATTTATTTGAGGATTTCAACGAATTTGGAGACATTCACACCGTTACTACGGCAGATGGAAATATTGTCAAGGCACTAGGCAAAGGAAGCATACAGTTTTCAACTGTTGTAAATGGAAAACCGAGTCAGTTTTACTTCAGAGATGTTTGGTACGTGCCTGGAATTAAAAGGAATTTGTTATCTGTGTTGGCGGCTCAAGATATGAACCCCAATAGTGTGTTTGAGTAACATGTAGATTCATGTACCATGAAGATTGGCGGTAAAATCATAGTTACAGGAAAATGTTTGAGGCATGGAGGTCTATTTACTCTGAATTGTAAAGCCTTGATACCGATGCCTTCAACTTATGTCACACTTGTACAGAAGGAAGATTTGCTACAATTGTACCATGAATGTTTTGGACATCAAAACAAAAGGCATGTCAGTCGTATTCTGGAACGAGAACTGGGAATAAAAACAACAGACAGTAAGGAGTTGTGTGATGGCTGTGTTTTCGAAAAGGCACACCGAAAGAAATTCGGTACTAGAGAAAAAGCCACAAAACCTGGTGAAAGGTTTCACACTGATGTCTGCGGACCATATCTTGAGTCGTATACAAAGCAAAGATATTTTTTAATAATATAATATGAATTTACCCGTTTTAGATTTATTTATTTGTTACAGACAAAGTCTGAAACTTGCCTTTATTCGAAAAATCGTTTCCGCAATTTTGAATTTAAAAATAAGTGCTAAATTCGTAATGAGCACTACCAAATACCTTGACAAACGATACACAATTCACCATTATTTCAAAAGTCGTGCCGACCATCTTGGATTTAGAAATGAGTGCCATATTCGTAATGAGCACCCACAAATACCTCGAAAATGATACCCATGTTGCATTTATTTGAAAAGTCGTGTCCGCCATCTTGGATTTAGATATAAACGATGTATTCGTAATAAGCACACACAAAAACCTCCAGTATAGTAGTACCCAACTTGCCATTATTTGAAAAATCATGCCCACCATCTTGGATTTAGAAATGAGTGCCACATTCGTAATGAGCATCCCAAATACCTCGAAAATGATACCCATATAGCACTTATTTGAAAAACCGTGCCTGCTATCTTGGATTTAGAAATATGTGCTATATTCGTAATGAGCACCCCCCAATTACCTTGAAAATGATACCCATGTTGCATTTATTTGAAAAGTTGTGTCCTCCATCTTGGTTTAGAATTAAATGCTATATTCGTAATGAGCTCTCCCAAATACCTCAAAAAACGATCCCCAACTTGCCATTATTCGAAAAGTCGTGTCCGCCATCTTAGATTTAGAAATAAGTGCTATATTCGTAATGAGCACTACCAAATACCTCGAAAACGATAACCAACTCACCATTATTTGTAAAGTCGTGCCCGCCATCTTGGGTTTCGAAATGAGTGCCATATTCGTAATGACCACCCCCAAATACCTCGAAAATGATATTATATATCATACCATATTGCGTTTATTTCAAAAATCGTGTTTGCCATCTTGGATTTAGAAATAAGTGCTGTATTCGTATTCAAAACCCCCAAATACCCCGAAAACGATCCCAACTTGCCATTATTCGAAAAACCGTGCCTAGTATTTTAGATTTAGAAATGAGTGCCATATTCAATATGAGCATCCCCAAAAACCTCGAAAATGATACCCAAATTGCAATTATTTGAAAAGTGGTGTCCGCCATCTTGGATTTAGAAATAAGTGCTATATTCGTATTGAGGACCTCCAAATACTTTGAAAATCATACCCATGTTGCATTTATTTGAAGTCATATCCTCCATCTTGGATTTAGAAACAAGTGCTATATTGGTAATGAGCAACCCCAAATACCACGAAAACGATACCCAAGTTGCCATTATTTAAGCAATCGTGCCCGCCATCTTGGATTTATAAATAAATGCTATATTCGTAATGAGCCCCCCAAATACCTCGAAAACGATACCCATATTGCATTTTTCGCAAAATCGTGTCCGCCATCTTTGATATACAAACAAGTGCCATATTTGTAATGAACACCCTAAAATACCTCGAAAACGATATACAACTTGCCATTATTCAAAAAATCGTACAAGCCATCTTCGAATTAGAAATGAATGCCATATTCGTAATGAGCATCCCCAAATACCTCGAAAAGGGTACCCATATTGCATTTTTTTTTTTGAAAATCATGCCCGCCATCTTGGGTTTACAGATAAGTGCTATATTCGTAATGAGCACCCCCAAATACTTCAAAAACGATACCCGACTTTTCATTATTCGAAAAATCGTGCCCGCCATCTTGAATTCAGTGATTCAGTGATTGTCATATTCTTAATGAACATCCCCAAATACCTCGAAAAGGAGACCCATTAAGCATTTTATTTAATCGTTTTCGCTGTCTGTAATGAGCTCTCCCAAATACCTCAAAAAACGATCCCCAACTTGCCATTATTCGAAAAGTCGTGTCCGCCATCTTAGATTTAGAAATAAGTGCATTATTCGTAATGAGCACCCCTAAACACCTCGAAAACAATACCCAACTTGCCATAATTCGAAAAATCGTGACCGCCATTTTGGATTTAGAAAAGAGTTACATATTCGTATTGAGCATCTCCAAATAGCCCGAAAAGGATACGCATATTGCATTTTTTTGAAAAATCGTATCTGCCATCTTGGATTTACAAACAAGTGCTATATTCGTAATGAGCACACCCAAATACCTCGAAAACGATACCCATGTTGCATTTTTTTTTAAATTGTGTCTGCCATCTTGGATTTACAAACAAGTGCTATATTCGTATTGAGCACCTCCAACTACCTCTCAAACGATACCCATATTGCATTTTAAAAAGAATCGTATCGGCCGTCTTGGATTTAGAAATAAGTGCTAAATTCGTAATGAGCACCCCCAAATACCTCGAAAACGAAACCCAACTTGTCATTATTAAAAAAAACCGTGCCCGCCATCTTGGATTTAGAAATGAGTGCAATTTTCGTAATGAGCACCCCCAAACACTCCGATAACGACACCCAACTTGCCATTATTCGAAAAATCGTGACCGCCATCTTGAATTTAGAACTAAGTTACATATTCGTATTGAGCATCCCCAAATACTTCGAAAAGGATACCCAACTTGCCATTATTCGAAAAATCGTGCCCGCCATCTTGTATTTAGAAACGAGTGCCATATTCGTATTAAGCGTCCCCAAATACCTCGATAAGGATACCCATATTGCATTTTTTTAAAAATCGTGTCTGTCATCTTGGATTTACAAACAAGTGCTATATTCGTAATGAGCACCCCCAA